CTCTGGCACAGTCCTGCACTAACATTTGCTCTCTCAAAGCCTCTCTCCGAACAAAGGCTTCTTTCTCTAAGGACGACGCCGAGGAGCCCCTTCCTTCCTGTGAGGGTGTTTGTTTCTAGCCCTTTCTAGAAACATCTTCCCAACTTCTAGTTCAGCAAAAGGTGAGAGTCTGCAGAGACTGGCCTGAACAGGGTCACGGCCCCGCCCATCAAACCAGGTCCACCCCTCAGGTGCGGGGCTGTTTCTCTGCAAGAGGAAGATGAGCTCAGCAGGCTGAGCTCGCTGACCCGCTGATCCGGGTTCCCTTATTTGGCCCTAAGGTGCTGCCGGCCCATGGGCTGCTAGAAGGCAGAGGAGTCTTGCTCACCTGGGGCCTGAACTCCAAGTCCCTGAGGTGCTGGCTCTGCCTTCAGCCTCCTGGGCCCGCAGCCCTCCTGGCTCAGCATTGCCCGGGGCGGGGGGTGGAGTCTGGGAACTTGTGCTGACAAGGAGCCCCACCCCCAGGAGCTGCCCACCTGTGGTCAGATTGGCCACCCCGGGGGAGCATTTATTTAGAAAACAAGTGGGGTGTGGGGGCGAGGCAGCTGCAGAGAAAGCCATGAGCCGGCACGCGGGACCCACTGCCCGACTCTCAGTGGTGCACAGTCATGGGGTGTTCGGCCCAGGAGACCCAGAAAGAGCTGAGGAACCACTCCTTGCTCAGGCTTCGGCCTCTGCCAGCAGGACGCAGCTGCAAGCGGTGGAAGCATTGGCCCAGCACGGCCGCCTCCATTTCCAACCCACTGTCCTGTGGTCCACCTGCCGGAGGCGGCGGACCCAGCTATTATTAGTTACTGGGGGGCTGGAAGGCCTTCCTGCCCACTTACCTCCTTTTCACCCATAAGGACACACAAATCTAACAAGGAAGCAGCCATTGTCATGTCCCTGCTCTGGGGACTGAGCAGCTCAGAGGTCACCCCCAGGCCAGCAGCCGACCCCTCCCGAAGGTGCCCTCACGGAAGCAGCTTCTGCCCAGCACACTGACTACGGAGAAGTGTCCTGAGCCGTGCCAGGCTGGAGGCGTCAACGTCGGCCCAGGCAGCTGAGGGAACCCTGGAGCCTGTGGCATCGCCCCACAGGATTTCTGGTAGCTGGGGGACAGTGCCGAGCAGGCCAGGGGGCAGCAGCAGCGGGCCCTGGGAGGCTCCAGACGCCCTCTCCTTGGGGCTGCCTCTGGCTTCTCTCGTGGCCTCTTCCTCTCGTAGCCGGTCTCAGCTGCAGCCACCTTCTGTGACGCCACCTTGGAGCCCCGCCTCCAGGCCCAGCTGCACCCACTCATGCAGGCCCACGCCACTGCAGGTGTCCACCGTCAGGCCCGCACCCCGAGCCCACCTCCCAAGCGCCTCCAGCATTCAAGGCCGCAGACGCCAGTGGTGTCAAAGCCCGAGCATCTCATTTACCCCACAAGGAACGATAACTTGTGAGGGGTTCATGGGCCCCTGGGCTCACCACAGGACGCTGGGAGGCTTTGGAAAGCTGGGGGCTGCTCTCCAGTCCTGGGTTGTTGGGGAGTGGGGCCCCACCTCCAGGACGCAGATGCCCACGGGCACAGCAGCTCTCCCAGCGGGATACTTGAGACCTCGGTGTGTGTCCTGCCGGATTCTCATGGTGGGGACCACTCTGAGGCCATTGGCTCTTCCAGGGGCCATAGGGTGATGGTTTCAGGGGGCCGGCGAGCACCCCTTGCATGTTGGCAGTGTGTTTGGCTTGGTTCTTTGCAGGCTTCCTTTTACTGTCCTAGTGAGTATTGCTAAGAGTGGTGATGAGTGAGGAGAAACCAGTCTAGAATTGGGGTTTGATTTGCTTCATGACACAAAGGTGGAGGGACTTGGGTGTCTCAGAAAATGAGTCTGAGCTGTGTTCTGGCCTCTTCCATGTGAAATCCTCAATTCACATGTTTTCTGATGAAAGCTTCAGGTCACCAGAGAGGTCTGACTGCTTCAGGGCAGGACCCTTCTGGGGGAACCCTCATTTTGAGGGCCCCTCATCCTGGGGCTCAGAAACATGTGACAGCCAGTTGGGTCAGGGCTGCCTCCACTCCCAGCTGTGGGGGGTTCGCTCCTCCTGGCGGAGGATGGGGTGCTGCTTGCAGAAAGGAGGGGAGACTGTAAGACATTCTGGGGTCGTGGCCCAGCCGCCCCGTCACCCACCTCAGCTCCACTCAGGGGCCCATGCTGACCTCAGGAGGCTGTGCAGGTGTGGGGAGGGGTAAGAACACTCTCTACCTTCCTTTCAGTTTTGCTGTCAACTTATAGTGGCCCCCAAAATAAGTCTGAAAGGGCCCTGGTGGCGCAGGCTGTTGAGCGCCGCACTGTGAAGCTGTCCGCAGCCTTTGTGGCGCGAGTTTGATCCTGACCGGCCGGCCAAGTTGCTACCCACAAGGCGCAGCAGACCTCTCCTGTCTCGCCCACTGCTCCCCTCAGCAGTGCATTTCAGTCAGGCTGCCTGTTCTGTTCTCTGCTCTGTCTCTGGTGAATCCTCTCATGCTCCCGCACATCTGGCCTGCACCCCGGTTCTTGTATAAATAAATCTTTAAAAAAAAATAAGTCTGAAAAAACACACCAGTTTGCTGCCGACGTGTGCAACCTGTCACCCCTGGCGTCCCTCCCGAAAAGCCATCCATTTGCCCCGGGATCGCCGCTGTTCCAGCTCGTCCCGGAGCTGTATTTCCCTCAGGACCTCAAGGCTGCGTCTTCCCAGCACAGGCACGTCCACGAGACCCAGAGGCTCGCAGGACACGAGAAAACGCAGGCTCCATGTCCACCAAGTGCAGCCGCAGTCCCCAGGCGTCTGTTTATCATTTAGGGTAACAGCATGAACCCCAGGCAAGGAAGGTGAGGTGCCGGTGTGCTCGCTGCAGCCCTGGACAACAGCCACAGGCTCAAAGGGCTGCAAACGTTTTCTGTTACGGCCCTGGAGCACTACCCTGGGCTCGTCCGCCACGGGGCCCACGGCCCTGCCGCTGGGCGTGATGATGTTCCAGTAACACTGTCCTCACACAAGAGGTGTCTGAAAGGAGTTGGCTGGACTAAGCATGAAGGCCAGGAACAAAATCGCCGTGTCAGAGGCCACTTCCCCACACCAGGCCCAGCCGCAGCAGACGGCAGGCACGGCCCCAGGGCTTTTCTGTTCCACACCAAACACTTTCTAAAGGCGGCGCTCTGGCCCCACAGTTCGCCCCAAGAGGTCATCCACCATGTAGGACTCGCAGCTGAGAACCGCACCCACCTGGGCAGCATCCCCCAGATGGCGGGGGCTGCACACACTCCTGCGCAGCTGTCGTGTCAAGGTCAGACCTGGGTCTACGACTGAGCAGGAGGCCCCACTAGCCCTGGGGTTCAGAGCAGAGATGCCTGAGCTCGGCCATGGGCTGCCTCCCCCCGGGGGCCCCACTGAGCTGCTCCATCTCCTGGATGATGGAGCCTGCTGGACGGAGAGGGGTCCCTCTGTCTGAGGATTTGGGATCTGTTCTCCCAAGCATCAGAGAGTAAGTGGTGGACCTCTAGGCCCCATCCTGCCCCCCGCTGCAGTCCATGTCCTCTCTGTGCGGGCCCAGGAGACGGCCGCCATCCTTGCTGAGAACTTCCATCTCAGAGCACTGCAGGCTGCTGGGCCCCGCAGGGCCTGGGCAGTGTGGGGGTGAGTTGCTGTCTGGTTCCAAATCTCCAGCCCTGAAACTCTGATAACAGTGAGGTTACCAGCCTTCCACAGAGCTGCTTTGTTCTTGAGGAAAGCCCCAGGGCGGCGCCGACAAGCGGCTCTCCCTGCCAGGCAGCCTGTGTCCTGCTGATGTGGGTTTGCTTATCAGGGGCCCAGGGGGGTGGAAGAGGCCGGGGTGCTGATTTACCCAAAATTTTCAAGAAAGCGTTTGTAGCACCTGCCTCCGCTAGGCTGTCCTGTGTGTCCTGGGGCCTGTGACTTCCTCATCCGAGGCCAGGCGGGTAGACGCCCGTGGCAGCTGGACAAGCAGCTGATATGCTCCCGGCGTGGCTTGTTTCAGTGGCAGCGACCCATTTAAAGGGGGTCTCATAAGAGAGCGGGGGCAGAGAGGCAGGGGCCCCCTACGGCCCTTCTTCCAGCGCCGGTTCCCGGGCCTTGGCGGGGCCGAGTGTGAAGTCCTCTGACGCCTGCACAGAGGCGTGGTGCTGTAAAAGCAAGTGTCGGTTAAAACCTGCCCCCTTTATGAAACGGATCCTAAAAACAAAACTTATTTAAATTTAAGAGGTGATTGAGCCACCGTGACTGAAGGCCGCTTGAGGAAGTCCTGCACTGGGGAGACCCTAATTGAAGAGAGGCCCCGAGCTGGCTGAGCCCCTTCTCTTGCCTCTGCTTGCCGCCTCCCAGTGCTGGGGTCCTAGGGCTCCCCTCTACTCAGCCCCCCGCTGGTGAGTCCGACCCGGGACTTGGAGCCGAAAGGATGCTTTCTAGGGGCCGGGACATGACTCTCGGCAGGCTGGGCTTAGCCCGGCCTTCTTCCTGGAAGGCGCTTGCCTTGCAGCTTGTGACAAAGTGGGGGGAATTCAGTTCCCTGAAACCCCAGACACAAGGCCGAGAGAGGACAGACTCCCTCTGACCCCACCCCACCCGGGGCCCAACACTTCCGACGGCGTCTGCGACACTGTTTGACGAAGTAAAAGCACCTGCTCTTGCTATTATTTGAGGCTGTGTTATGGCCCCTTTTCAGGTTATAATGTTCTTGAAGAAAGTTATTTTTGTCTTACTCGTCTTTTTATGAATCACGACCCCACACAGATTCTGTCCCTGACAACCAGCAGCCAAGTGCACGCGGTTCCCTCGGAAGCCAAGGACTGGCCTCAGCCGTCAAGGACGTGGCTCCAGCCTGCAGGAGGCCTTCTGACTTAGACTCCTGCTGGCCATGACCTTGAAAGAGCCCAGATGCCTTATTTTTTTTTTTGCTTTTTAAATAAAGGTAAAGAGGGGCCCATCAGACAGACCGGAAACATTCTCTCCGGCATTAAACAGGTTAGGGTGTGGAGAAAGGAGAGAGTCCCACGGGTGGATCTACACGACACGGGTCATCACTCAGAGCAGAGGGGAGCCCCAGCGCCCCCTTTGCCATGAAGACATTTCTCCCACAGGATAAAGAGAGCAGAAGCGCATCCGCTTTACACAGTTCCTAGACCTGAAGCTCCACGCCGAGGACTCAGGCTCCGGCCAGACAGATCCGGACTCGACTCCCAGCTCCCTTTCCAGCCGTGCGACCTCACCGAGCTAGACCAGGTCAGCCTCGGTCCCTCCCGCTGGGTAGTGGGGGCAAGTGGTTTGTTTCACGCACAAAATGAGACCATGTCCACGAATGAGGTGATTCGCACAGTTGCCGGTGACAGTCGCTCGTTCGTGTTCTGCTGTTACGAGGAGGAAAGGTTCTTACTGAGAGGGTTGAAGAAGTAGCTGGTATAAGGCCAGCGCCCTAGGAAGCAGGGGCCACGCGAGACTCAGCGGCACCTCAGAGGAGTGCAAGGGTGGACAGAGGGCAGCCGGGGGGAGGGGAGGGAGGCGGTCCAGCAGCAGGAACTCGCGGGACACAAGGGGATGGATGCCACGAACCCGAGTCCCCGAGACTCTGGGTGAGGACAGCGGTGGAAGCGAGGGGAGCCTGCCGCCGTGGCAGGGCCGCTGTAGGAGGACCAGACTCAGGACCGGCTGACGGAGGAGCCCAGGGGGAAGCTCTCAGAGATTTAGATGTGGGCTATTTATACAAAGGAATACTACACAGCTGCAAAAAAGATGACATCTTGCCATTTGGGGCCACGTGGGTAGAGCCCAAAGGGGTGATGGGAAGTGAAGTAGGTCAGAAGGAGAAAGACAAGCACCAGATGATTTGACTCACAAGCAAAAAATAGCCAAACCAGACCAAAAGCATCCCTAGAAATCTGACTGCAGAACTGAGGACGCCAGAGGGGGAGGGAAGGGAGGTGGGTGCAAGGGAAGGAAGTGGGAGGGGCCCAGGGGATGGTGGCGGAGGATGATGGGTGGTTTGGGGGTGGGGGGTGTGGGAAGCAGCATCCGAAGCAGTTGGACCTGCACCAAGGGGCAGTTCGTGGGCTGACCCCGCCGGAAAGAGGCCAGGACAGTGGGACGTGGCCTCCCTGTGCGAACACCTGCTGAAGCGACCTGCTCAACGCACACTTACTCTGCGTGCTCTTGGCAGCCCCACCCTCCAGGAGCCAGTGCAGTTTGGCTCGTATCCCGTTGCATGGCCCGTTCGCATCCTACCTGGTGGTTTCTGCGAGTTCTTAATCCTCCTTCCCCCATCCTCTTGGGCCGAATCCTTGACCCCTTCATTGGAAAGGAGCCCTTCCCCAGAGTGTCTTTGGAACTGGAACTTCTGTGGCTGAGTGGCCTGGCTTCAGGGGTCCTTTGGGTGGGAAGTGCTTGTCCAGGGCACATGGCCCAGGGGTCATAGGCTGTGGGCTGCCCTGACAGCGGGACTAGGTCAAGGGCGCCTTCCTTTCCCTGCCTGACTTACAAGGCTCTCGCTGGCACCGTGTTCTGCTCAGTGCAGACACTCAACACGTCATCCGCACACAGGTGGCTGAGCACCCTCCGCCTCCGCGGGCACTAAGCCCTGCTGCCTCAGGTGCCAGCTTGCAGGTGCAGATACTGGATGACGGAGCGACAGTTAAAGATCTTCTACGGATGAAACTAGAAAGTGAGAGCTGGAAAGGAATTTGGAGTCAGCATTTCTAGCTATTCTTAGCATATTAGCTTGGATTCAAACTGAGGAAGGGTTTCCAAATTCCACCCTTCAAGCCTCGACCCAAATCTGGGTCAGCTGGTTTGGAGGTGGACCTGGAAGCTGTAGTTTTAAAAGCTCCGCAGGTATAGACTCTCTTCTGATCACTTAGTGGCTGGACACTCCTTACTCTAGAAATGCCTGGAACTAAGACACTAAAGTCACCCTCTTTGCCAAGGCCAGCTGTTGCTTGCTGGGGACTGCATGTCGTGGGACAGCCGGTCAGCCCTCAGCCTCCCAGCGGCCGTGTGCAGCTCACGGCAGGTGCGGGAGAAGGGAGTAGCCTGGAGGTCACGCTGGTGTGGCTGAACCCAGCTGAGGACATGCAGAAGCCATTGGGGAGTGGACAGCACTTGTTTCCAGAGACCCCACTTTATAACCCGGGGCCACTGGCTGTTGATTAGCCACTTAGGCTTCGCCAAGGAGCTTACCTTGAAAGCTCCGTTTCCTTGATTTTAGCCACAGAGCAGCTGAGCGCAGGAAATAGCACAATCAACTTCCCCTTTAGAGCAGTGTTATGCCTAGTGGTGGCTGTTCTATTTTGTTATTCTCCAACACTCCGTCGGCTGGTATGTTTTTCTTGCCTATAGGGTTTTTTCCATATCTTTGTGATGAACGTTTGAGGACTCAATTGAGACTGCGCGAGGCGTGCGGACGCCCTGCCCGATGTCTGGGATTTCATATCGCTCGGGACACAGACTGGTGCTTTTCAATTCATGAGCCAATTTCTCAGCCAATCTCCTTTCGCTTCCTTCATTACTTCAAAAAATGCCCCCTCGAACTGCCAAAGTGAGATTCAGACCCATTTATTTTTCCATTTCTGTCTGCAGAGCGCAAGGCACTTCAATTTCCCCCCATCTTAATCACCACCGCACTCCGGGCCTACGGGAAACGTCTGACGATGACCAATGTGCACGCACAGGACTAGTCGATGCTGACTCTTCCACCCGTGGCTCGTTGGCAAGATCGCTGAAGCCTCTCACCTCCTTGGGAGGAAAACACAGCAGGTGGGGGCGCCGGCGTGGACACGGTGCAGGGAGCCGCCCCCTGGCAGGCAGGACGGGGTTTCGCCTGCCCCCCACCTCCAGCAGCCCCCCTCTCTGCTCTTTCTCCTTGATCCAGGCTTCATCGCAGAGGGGAGCCGGCCTGGCCTGCAGCATCACCCCCATCTTGTGCCTTTGTTGACCTTGTGGTGTCCTCAACCGTGGGGAAACAGACGGTGCCTTTTGGGAATCTGACTTGGAGAGGGAGACCTGTGCTTGTGATCCTAGACGTGAACTATTGCCCGTTGAGTAAAACAGCTTCTCCAGTCGCTTGTTTCTGCCCCCTCTGCTTGGATGGACAGCGAGGTCCTAAAGTGGGTAGATCACAAGGAGGGCTTGGTCATGGCTGCCTCCTTCGCACAGCTCAGACCCCTGGGCAGACCCCAGCACAACATTTACCCTCCTGAATCTCCTTGTTAAGTATTTTCAAGGACTGCAGCTCAGTTCCAAAAGCAAACTCTCCATGTTGTCCCTTTCTCTCGCCCCAGGCGTGGTCCTGAGACCCTGAACACACGGTGAGCATCCCTCCCCGCTCTGCTCAGCCTCCTGGGCATGGCTCAGGGCAAGGCAGCATCCCACATGGCCCCACCCTCCGGTCTCCCCCGACAGGGACATGAAACGAGGTCTCTATGTGGCAGTTTAGTGATAACCGGGTGTAGGGTCAATGATGGTCAGGCTTTTCTGCCCTCCCGCCATGAGGATGGATGATGGATCCCTGCGGTCCTGAATGCAGGCCTGATGGCGGCACCTGGAGTGGGGTGCAGGCATACATAGGTGGGTGCACCTGGGCTGAGAGACTGGGCTTATAAGGGCAGCGTCACGGGGACACCAGCAGAGCGAAAGGAGCAGAGAAGCAAAGGCCACAAGAAACACCGGAGGGCCCAAATGGAGTGAAGATTAACCGGGGGCTGGGAAGCCTGCCAGCCTCCTGGCCCCCCAGCACCCTACCTGCCGTGTGCCTGGCAAAGCCCAATAAAAGCCTGTAAAAGGCACCGAGGGCTCCAGGATTCTCCTTCACCTGTCTGCTCGGGTCGTAGACATCCTGCTCAGTGCCCTTCCTGCCGCTACACGGGGCCAAAGGGAGGCAAGTTAATCACCGAGGCCTGGGGCGCCAGCAGGAAGACAGGCAAAATGGCAGCCGCATGGGCCTCCCTGGTGGCGCAGGCGGTTGAGCACCGCGCTGTGAAGCTGTCCACAGCCGCTGCAGTGCCAGTTCAATCCCCGCCAGCCACGGAGCAACCCACATGCCAAGGCAGACCTCTCCTGTCTCGCCCGCTGCTCCCCTCAGTCAGTCTGCCTGTTCTGCTCCCGGCTCTGTCTCTGGTGAATCCTCTCACCCTCCCGCGCCTCTGGCCTGTACCCCGGTTCTTGTGTAAATAAATCTTTAAAAAAAAAATGGCAGCCATGCGCCTGCAGAGCAGAGGTGAGTGGGAACCACAGGCAAAGGTCAGGCAGGTCCACCTGCAGGACCAGAGTGAGCCAAAGGAGGTGCGGAAGCCATTCCTGAGGAATCCGGAGTGCTCCCCGCAGTTACACAGAAGCATGATACGACCCGGGACCCAAAGCTTGAAGGACAGCCCAGAACAGTCCGAGGGAATGAAGCCTGTGCCCCCCTCTGCCGCCGACCTCCTCTTACCTCCACCCCAGACCTGGCTGGCCCGCGACGGGGCTGAGTCCCGCAGGCGGAGCGGAGGAGCGAGGCGGGCCCCCTGCACCGCGGCTGGAGCCTGTCGCCACCGACTCTCAGGCCGCGTCTCCTGGCGCCCCCCTCTCTCCCTGGCACCTCAGGCCCACACTCTGGGTCCTGCTGGCGTGCGATGAGGAGGGGGCAGGGGTTCCGTGCAGGCCTGGCCCAGCCCCGCGGCGTCTGTCCTCCGGGTCTGGCCTGCGCTGCCCGAGGGCCAGTGCTGGGCTTCCCTTCTCTCCAGTCCTGGCACGATCGGCTTCTCACCCTCTGCTCGGGATGCCTGACCCTCCCTGAGAGCCCCCCAACATCTGCCCCCAGGCAGCCTCACCCGACCACCCCTATGGGTCCCTCCACCCACCGTCACCTCTCCTGGGGTTCACCCTCATTTGTTCAGCCCTTGCTTGCCTCTAGCGGCCGGGGTGGCTGCGCCCCCAAGGCAGAGTCTTACAGAGTCCAAATCGCGGCATCTCCAGGGCCTGCGACACTGGCTGGCCCCACGCGAGGCCTCGGGTGGTTGTAGGCAACGGGACGACCCGGCTCCCAGAGGCCTGAGATGGAGGGCGTGCGCCTCAGGAGGGCAGGCCTGGAGGGCAGCGTGAGGGGAGCCCTGGAGCGCCGAGGCAGGGAAGGGGCAGGGCCTTCCAGCCTCTGTTCCCTGAACCCCCTTCCTGTGAGGAGTCTGAGCTGCAGCAGGGGCGGGTGGCCCTCCGTCCCCAGTCTCAGGCTTCTGGGCACACCTGGTGACGAGGCCTCATCACCTGCCATTGAGTCCGACTGAGGAGGACCTGCAGCCCACCTGTGGGGTGCAAAGCAGTGATGCCTGAGGGGCTGCAGGGGTATCTCACATTCACAGTCTGCGTCTGGCCAATTCCTTGAACTCTCCCGCATCTCGCTGACCCGGAGGAAAGACACGGTTATACACGCGTAGACACCACAACCATAAGTCACTGCAGGAACTTAATTCCTTAACAAGAACAGCCAAGACTGGCAATGAGCTATGCAGGGGCCAGAGGCAGGAATGATTTTTTAATCAACTTGGACTAAGACCAAATGCCCTTGATGAATGTGCAGTTGGCCAGAAACATATCTTAGCTCATATGTTTGTTTTTCGTTTTCCTATTAATCAAAATTTTAGAAGATGGGGTACATACCCCCACATTTAAAAACCCAGTGTTTTCATCCCAATAGACTGGGTGTTGTGTAACACTTCTCTCAGGACAAGAGCTTTGCTGGGATTTTGTTTGTTGCTGTTGCCAGTGAGGGCTGGGAGTGCAGCTCAAAGCCAGAGAGTGCTGAGGAGGTGGGGCGCCCCTGGAGCCGGCTGCACGGTTTCACCAGCACCACCAGCTCCACATTAAGGCGGCGGACTTGCGGACCAAGCCGAGTCCACGCACCCGGCCCACGCTGGCCACCGTCCTCAGTGAGAGCTTGACGTCCTTCCGAAGGTCAAGTGTGTGCAGGGTGACACACCTCTGGGCCTCCATCCTCCCTCTGTCGTGAAGCTTCTGGGGCCAGCACCCCCAGCACCCCCCAAGGCTTGTCTCTGGAGCCCTCTGTCTTCACTGCCAGGGGAGCCTGGGGACACTTGGTGTCCAGACGGTGAGAGCTGAGGTTTCCGCGGTGGTGGCCACCCTCTGCGCAGCCATCTGTTCGGGCTGAGCTCCTGCTCTGCTCCCTGGACAAGGTGAACTTGCGAGTGCAAAGAACAGTTCTTTGCGCATCTTTGAGTAAACATTGGGCCTCGGGGGCTGCCGTTGCCATAGCGACCTCCACCCTCCGCCCCTGTCCCCCATGGGAAGGGCATCCGAGCAACTCCCAGGAATAGTGAGCATTATTTGCTGTTTTTTTTTTTTTTTTTTTAAACTAGTGCCTGTTTGTTGCAGAAGATCTGAAAATAAATTAAAACTGGCTCATTATCACACCAGCCAGGGAAAGATGGTGCCCAGCTTGAGGCTGTGCTGTTCGGGCGTACATCTTTAGGGTTATGTTTTCTTAGAGAATTTGCCCTTTTCATAACGCAGCGCTCCTCTACCCAGTAAGCTCCTGGTTCAAAGTCAACTTTATCTCAGATGAGTAGAGAGAATCCAGCTGTCACCTGACCAGTGTTGTGATGGTTTCTCTCGCTCCACCCTTTTATGTGTCACCTGAGTTTTTATATAAAAAAACTCCAAGTGTTTTATATTTCTTTTTTTAATGGTTTATTTATTTATGCATACACGAACTGGGGTGTGGGCCAGAGGTGCAGTGGGTGAGAGGATTCACCAGAGACAGAGTGGGGAGCAGAACAGGCAGAGCCACTGAAATCCATTGCTGAGGGTAGCAGCGAGCGAGTCAGGAGAGGTCTGCTGAGCCCCGTGGGCAGCTCCCTGGTCAGGGATGGAACTCGTGCTGCAGTGGCTGTGGACAGCCTCATAGGTTGCATCTTAACCCCTTGTGCCACCAGGGAGGCCCTAAGTGTTTTATATTCCCTAGAGAAACAGATAGTTGGGTCTTTTTAAAAATCCATTCTGACCATGCCTTTTATTTATTTATTTTTAAAGATTTATTTATACAAGACCTGGGACACAGGCCAGATGTGCGGGAGGGTGAGAGGATTCACCCGAGACAGAGCGGGGAACAGAACAGCCAAAGGACCGAAGACACTGCTGAGGGGAGCAGTGGGCAAGACAGGAGCAGTCTACCGCGCCATGTGAGTTTCTCGCCGGCCAGCCAGGATGGAACCCACACTGCAGAGGCTGCGGACAGCTTCACAGTGTGGCGCTCAACCCAAAGTGCCACTGGGGAGACCCCAAGCACGTCTTTTAGTGATGTATTTAGGCCGTTCACATTTAGTGAACATAAACCATAAGGTAGTTACCAATAGGTGGCAACACATTGTAACTCTTTCCCTTTGTTCTCTGGATTTCCTTCTCTCCTTTTGTCACCCCTCTTGACTTTGGGGTGTCTCTAAGCCTGCTTCCCAGAGAGTGAGTCTCGCAGCTCTTCCCTCTGTGATGCAGTTATTATCCACTAGGCCCGCGGTGTGGAGCCCAATGACCACGGAATCCACAGCAACCAAATAAGGCCCAAGGCCCGACTTCGGACGCTGTGGTCTTGAATGGATGCGCAGACAGATGGGCAGGCGGATGACGACCTGGGGTAAGCACGTCTCAACATAGGAGACACGGCATGTAATTCTATGGATACATTTATAAAGTAATATTATATTTTAGTCTTTGTCACAAGTCATTACACATCCTTGATTAAGCACAAATCCTACATTTTTAAAATCGTATTTCTGGAGGTGGCCTGCAGTCTCAAGGAGAGCCGCTTACAGCTCGTGCGTGAAAACTCGGTGGTGTAGCAGATCCGGGCCAGGGACTGGGCGGAGACGAGCAGCGAGTGGCTGAAGCCGAAGAGATGTTTGGTGATTTAGATTCAAAACTGGCTGATGTTCCTGTAAGGCAATTACATTCTGCGCTTCAGGGTAATGTCTTCTCATGGATCAGCCATCCTACCTCATCAGGTCTCTTCATTTAACCAGGCCCCAATCAATTGTTAATCACGCGGCGTGTTCCTGCGGCTGATGGCCTCCAGCGGGGTCATTAGGAAATCGTTTAGCCTCCGACTACAAGGTAATGAGATCATCTTTTTTGCCTTATTTCTGTGTTAAAAAGTTTTCCTGAGTAGCTATGAATTTGATTTTAATGGCCTTCATAATGGCGCCTAAGTGGGGTGTGACCGCAATGGAGTCATCGAGATGGCCGCACAGTCTCGGCCGTCTCAGACCTTCTGGGCCTGACGAGCTTCCTCCTCCTGCTGTGGGGAACATCCGTTGCGGTCTCTTCTGGCCACGTGCCAAGAGGCTCGGCTAGGGGCCTTCAGGGCAGGCCCTGCTTGTGCTGGATCCAGGAGGGAGGGGATGCAAACTGGGCTTGCCGGCCTCCCCGTGCAGGGCAGGAGACTTCCCCGAGCCTCAGCCTCAGGCCGGAGCAGCAGCTGTGAGTGACGGAAGCCCACGATCCTGGACTCGGCGCTGCCCACCGCAGCTGAGCCCTGTGGGATGCTCTGTCTCTCTGTCCTCTTGCCCATGGCTGAGGACTCACAGCCGCGGCTCTGAGAAGATGAGCAAATCTCTAGCTCCCCCACCCCTCAGAGGCGGATGTGCTGATCATTTTACTCTGCGTATGTACAAAACCGGGGAGCAGCCCCTCTTTCCAGGTTCGTCTTCACGGCCTGGCCTGGACCAGGCCTGGGTTGGGAGAGCAGGCTGCTCCTGGGAGCCCCCAGCTCCACCCCCTGGCATCCAGATTCCTCACCAGCCTCCCAGGAAGGGCAGGAAGCCCTGGCTTGGCGGTGCTGCTGCTTATGGTTCAAGAGAAAGGAGCAAGATGTCGCCCCCCGAATTCAGGACAAAGGGTGCCCCTGTGCAGGGCGTGACAGGCACGCTGGCTTGCCGAGCAGGCATGAACGGGCTGCTTTTAGGATGGACCACTAGTTTCTGGTGAGATTTGGAAGGTGGTGAAGAAACCGCCCCCTAATCCCATCGTGACAGTGTCTCCGGACAGAGACTTCTGCCTGCTCGTGAGACCGGGGACCTCTGGCCTTGGGGAGAGCGTGGGACTTAACATGCACCAACATCTGGATGTTGCACAAACTTCATGTGCAGAATGGGGTGAGACGTGCAGGTACCCCG